AAGTGTAGCGAAGACGACCATATTGAATCCTGGAACCGCTGGTCAAGTGGTAGCGAAGACGACAAAATACTCCACGATTCGTGGAGTATTTCACAGCGTAGCCCAGGGTCTTCTCCGCGCCCAGCCGCCATCTTGAAAGCGGAGTAGACCCTGGGAACGAGGTTGCTCTCGAGCTACAATTACCGTTCATCAATATGTTGGACTTTTAATGGATTATACGACTCAACACGAAGCAAGAAAGCTGAAATTTACTTCTTCGATAGCAGAAAAGAGTAACAAGTAATGGTGAGTCATTCTTTCACGTTAATTGTTCCGTTTACAGATGTATTCCTTGAATGCGAAGCCTGTGATTTGCATAAAATTATACCCGCTCACATGCCAAGACAGTTTATTTTACTGACGGGGAAATATTTAATTCCCAGAGCTAAAACTTTCCTGGTGGAAAGCACAATAACCAAGGTTTCGTTACATGTAGATTTTATTATCAAATGATATATACCAGATGCCATTTATAGCAGTCAAAGTCGGCCTTCATGTTAAGCGACAAAAATGGCAGCTGTATAAATATTCCAATTGAAAAAGCTAGAAACAACGTTTGGAGAAACTTATTACACAGTCTTAAAGAGGAAGAAACAACATAATATTTGTGCCAAGTTTCGTTTTTATTGAGTCTTTTTTACGCTTTCACCGTCTTCCCAAAGAAGCGTGAGAATTTGAAGCTGTTTTTGAGCTGAAAACCACTAATTATTCAATTTCGAACTTTTTTAAATTTCGTCCGTTAAAAAAATCGTTGGAACTTTTAACTATTTTTCCTTAAGTTAGTACACCCAAAGGAATGTTTTGGCAAAATATAAAAAAATTCGAATTTTTTGAGTGTCTTCCGATTCTTGGCATTCTCGGAGAATGGCTCTTAAGTATGTGCTACACAAAATAATTTGCCGAAAATCTGGCTTTTGGAAGGCGAAGGGTGCTTCTTTTCGATCCCCAAAGGAATTTTTGGGGAAATGATTCAGTGCGATGAAATCTAATTTTAAAGTTGGATAAAATGCGCTGATTCAACGGATACCGAAGAGTCTCCTAAATTAGTTCAATGTGCACATACACGCAAAACTTTAATTGTTTCGCAGTTTTATACGTTCAATCTACAAACTAATTTAACATAAAACCTCTAACCTTTATGTTGTTGTATCAAAGAAGAGGGCTATAGTCCTGTAGTTGTTGCTTCCTTCGCGATAATTGCAGCTCACTGAAAGATGACCAGCACGCCATGTTTGTTTAGTTAAGCCGTACTTCGGACGTGTTTGATGAGAAGATTCTCTGTTTCCATTTTCGTTCAACAGAGCAGGCTTCAAGTACTTTCCGCAAAAAAGTCTTTGTTTAAACCATTAGTTTTGAACTGAACAGCGAACCAAATGCGTTAATTCTTGTCTTGTAGCTTCTTGTGGAATTTAATTAAGTCAGAATGGGTTTCAACTGAAATCGACAACTAACTACATGTAACGCAAGAAAGGAACCGGAAGTTATTTTTTTATGAGAGATGGCTGGAAGAGAAGAGGGCGGGGGGATACAATATAAAAGCCTTTTTTCATTTATAGTTTCTTGTTTTATTTTTAATCTTTATCGCATAAGCGCATATTTTCTGACATTGGGAATAATTCAACTTGTTCTCCGGAAACCTGAAAAACCCCAAATCAATCCCAGGCCAAAATGGCGTATATTTCAAGTTGTATATTATTATTATCTGCCTTGTAAGCCAGCCATAACTTTCAATAAAGTTGTAATATCATTTTTATATTTTTCGAATAATAGTAGCTTTAGTCCGGTTGCGCATAGTCAAAGACCAAGACCCCTTTATATATTGAGCTACTGTATTTACTTTTCCCCACTAAATGATATAGCCCTGGTCCCGTCACGGACAGGGAGAATAACGGGTCGTCAACATATTCACAAGTTCCCCGCTTAACGTCTACGGGACGTACGTTTAGGAGGGGGTTTAGGAAGGGGGTAAGGAGGCACCGGATTTGGACATTAGTGTAGGACAGTTTTGAGGAAAAACAAAATGATGCATTTCTTTTTTGACTTGCACATGCATGTGATTGCCGGCTTGCATGTAATTCACCGCTCGCATATACAAGAATGGCTTCTTGCTTGTTAATTATTTATTTCGCACTCAGCCGTACGTGTGTCAGCAGTGAGTGAACTAGGTTGTGTAATGACAACGGCTAAACTGATCAATTGTCTGTAATGCAAGCTACTGGAGGCCTGGTCCAACCTGGTCGATCGCACAATTTTACAACCACACCTGCCAACTAATTCTTGTAGAATACCCATTTATTATATGCGGGCAAAATGGTCCACGATCAAAAGTAGACCCTGAGCTGTCCGAAGTTCCAATACGGAAGGCTAAGAGGGACCGTTGACGAACTCATTTCACCGAATTCCTTTTTGAAACATTGAACAAAATAAAACTGTTCTATATAAAGTAGAAACATTTTTCCTTATGTCTGGCAGCAATTTTGGTTAATTTTTTCGTTTTAAAAAAGCCATTGTACTAAAAACTTTATTGAGCTAGCTTGTTCGGTTCGTATTGGGGCAATATTGGTCGATTTTTTTTTTTGCCAGTTTATGGACCTCTCTTGACCTCGACAAATATTTCCCCAATATTCTGTTGATGTCTTTCTACTTCTTCATCGCCAGATTTGTTTGTGCTGTAAGTACTTTTCACTACTGAGCGAGAAAAAAATCCACTATTTGCAAAGGTGTGACTGAGGAAGTCGCCCTTGTCAAAGATACTCAGTAGATCCTTCGCTGTGCTTCGCTCTTCGCATTGCTTTCCATATACTCGTAGGATCAGCCCTTTGCCCGATGCGTTCTCCAGCTTGGAACCGTGCTTCAGTATCGTAGCCACAGTGAGGTTCTTTCTTGTTAGTGCTGCTGACTTTAAGAGCCCATCCCATCGGTAGCACTGTGTCATCATCCTCCAACGATATCAGTCGGTATCTTCAACCCCACCCTCTTCCAGCACCCATCAAAAAATAACCTCCGGTCCAGACTCGTACCCAATCGATATTTATAAGTTTTTGGGATGAGAGAAGATTGGATACGGGAGTGGATTGAGGCGCGCGGGGGGTTATGGGCTAATTTTCCCTCGTCCCCTTTCATGATTCCCCGCGCGCCTCAACCACTCTCGTATCCAATCTTCTCTCATCCCAGAAACATATAAATAGCGACTGGGTACGAGTCTGCCTCCGGAAGTTAGGAACGTATCTGTGCGGAAAAGTACTGAAATAGCTCAATATATGAAGGGGTCTTGGTCTTTGACTATGCGCAACCGGACTAAAGCTACTATTATTCGAAAAATATAAAAATGATATTACAACTTTATTGAAAGTTATGGCTGGCTTACAAGGCAGATAATAATAATATACAACTTGAAATATGCCGCCATTTCGGCCTGGGATTGATTTGGGGTTTTTCAGGTTCGGGAGAACAAGTTGAATTATTGCCAATGTCAGAAAATATGCGCTTATGCGATAAAGATTAAAAATAAAACAAGAAACTATAAATGAAATAAGGCTTTTATATTGTACACCCTACTCTCTTCTCTTCCAGCCATCCCTGATAAAAAAATAACTTCCGGTTCCTTTCTTGCGTTACATGTAGTTGTCGATTTCAGTTGAAACCCGTTCTGACTTAATTAAATTCCACAAGAAGCTACAAGACAAGAATTAACGCATTTGGTTCGCTGTTCAGTTCAAAACTAATGGTTAATCAAATACTTTTTTACGGAAAGTACTTGAAGCCTGCTCTTTTGAACGAAAATGGAAACAGAGAATCTTCCCATCAAATACGTCCGAAGTACGGCTTAACTAAACAAACATGGCGTGCTGGTCATCTTTCAGTGAGCTGCAATTATCGCGAAGGAAGCAACAACTACAGGACTATAGCCTTCTTCTTTGATACAACGACATAAAGGTTAGAGGTTTTATGTTAAAATTAGTTGTAGGTTGAACGTATAAAACTGCGAAACAATTAAAGTTTTGCGTGTATGTGCACATTGAACTAATTAAAAAGACTTTTCGATATGCGTTGAATCAGCGCATTTTATCCAACTTTAAAATTGATTACATCGCGCTGAATCATTTCCCAAAAAAATCCTTTGGGAATCGAAAAGAAGCACCCTTCGCCTTCCAAAAGCCAGATTTTCGATGAATTATTTTGTGTAGCACATACTTAAATAATAGGTTAATTTTGACCTATTTTTAATCGAGTTAAAAGTAGGTCGGACAAATTTAATTATATTTTGTAAATAGAAAGACAAGAATTGCTCAAATTGCTTTCAACATATATTTCGGTATCGTTCTTTAAGATTTGGTAGTTTTTATTGTCCTAGAATGTTTCATTTTGCTATGCGAAGCTTCAAGATTCGCCTTAAATTTTGAGCTCCAAAAGCGGCATTTTGAACGAATTCGGTTATTATCGATTTTCTCGAAAATAAATCGATATTCAGCCAAACAAAGTATGCAGTGATTTGTTTCACATTAAGGTCTACCTAACATGAGAATATGAGCAGAATTGATTTTTCGGCTGTGGCCACAATATTTTGAAAATGTCTGACCGTTGGTAACATTCGCTCTTAAATGCTTTGCATTGTTATAGATGCCAAAGACGTGAAAATGATATTTATATATTTTAATAATTGCATCGGAATATCGTGAAATAAAGTAAATTTACATTCTATCTTCCTTGAGCTCGACAATTACATCAATTTAGGAAAAATCGTGGAATTTATATTCAATAAACAACAAATATCTTGATGCAAGTATTGGTAAAATAAAAATTAATATCAAGTTGCGCCTTCTGACGCCTCTGCATTTATAAAGAAAAAATTGTAATTTCCTCAGAGTCAGCAACACTGATCTAAATATATCAAAAGTAAAATTAAATGAAGTCCCAATCGTAAGATGTGAAGGCAGTCGTGTAGTAACTACCTACAAACTTGTTTCCGGCAGGGCTCGAACCTGCGACCTTCCGCACCCAAAGCGAGAATCATGCCACTAGACCAACAGGCCTTTAACGCAGTTATCTGCTCAGTCTAAAATAGATATAAACAATATCACTGGTACCAGTTTTTTTCTGGCCGGGGAGATTAAAGATTAATCACATGGTATTGGACAATTAGATATTAACACTCTTTATCCATGTTTATCGCGTTTTGCTAATTTGTCCATATTTAAATTGTCTTCCACAAAGTTCTAGAATGAAAAGCAATTATGTTACATTATATCGAGATTCGGGTGAACTTACCACCAAACGTTCGGTTAACAACAACAACAACGAAAATGTATTAAAGTATTTCCATTAAACTACACTGTATGACGATCTTTGACGATCCTGTATATGCCAATTTTATTAAAGATTCGTACCCTATTTGGCTAGATGAGTACTGGGAAATTACAGATAACGACTTTTATGAGATATAATTAAATATCGAAAACGAAAGGAAACGATAACGTATAGCAAGCGCAAAGCGAGAGAGCGTCGCAATAAAATATCCGATCTTGAAAAAAATGTGAAAGAATGGGGAGAGAAATACAATGAGTTGCCGACAATTGAGAATATCTAGCAAAACTGGAAGAGTTAAAATAGAGTATGAAAGTAGTTATGATTCTAAACGCAATGTTTCAACAGATCAACTGTCAAGGCTATAAGCAAATTGGTAAGTTTTTGTCTGTCTAACAAAATGATCGATCCAGAAAAATAATCAGTTCTTGTTCTGCCAGCATTAAATGCGCGAGGGACCGGGACTTTTGATTTATTTAGATGTTGCTAAATCTGAGGAACTGAAAAGTTTTGTTATAAATGCAGAGGGCGTCAAATGCACAACTTGATATTCATGTTCATCTTACTGATACTTGCATCAAAATATTTTTGTTTATTGAATATAAATTCCATGATTTGTCCAGTAAAGTGTAGATGTAATTGCTAAGCTCAAGGAAGATAGAATGTTTAATATACTTTATTCACACCCGCTCGTACAGAGAATAAATTTAGTTTGTACAGTGATTCTTTTTTTATATGAATTAGAGTGTTAATATATTTCGGAGGAAGTAAATGAGTACAGTGATCCTCGGTAGTGATATATAAACAATAGCCTCCATTTGGCTTCAAAAATTAAATATGCTCGGATATTTGTCCGCGGAAATTATCTGTCCAAGGACAAATATCCGAGCATATTTTTGAAGCCAAATGAAGGCTATTGTAGTTACTAATATTATCCTTCAAATATTATTTTCACAAGGCCGCTCTCATCGGTTTGCCGTGGAAGATCTCGGCCAAGCTGTTCAAAATGCTTCTAGTCTGTTCAAACTCAATCAGTTCAGTATATTAAACTCAGCAATTTATTTGAGACGAAAACTGAACTTGCGAACGAAAAACGTAAACTTTGAAAGCTGGGGAATATCACTTGGGGAATATCACTTGGGGAATATCACCGGACATTCCCCAGTTTTGGCTGCGTCACGTGACGTGTTTAGACTAATCGCGCGCGAGAAACATATTTGATGAATTATAACGGTGAGTATCTACGTGTCATTGCATGAGATACTTCAGTAGCTATTTTTTACAACATATATAACATATTTTGAATCAAGTATTAAAACATTATACACCAAATATAACATTTTTGAAGGCCAAAAACAATGATCATATCATTTTATGCAGAAACATTGACGTGAAATATTGGCTTCGAAAACAAAAATGGTAGTACATAACGAAATTCAAATTCCGGTACATTCATTTTAGAGAACAATTGTTTTTCCCCAGTGAATAAAAAAAGTATGGTTATATCTTACTGTTAGGCACCGATGGGATTTGAACCCATGACCTCCTGTTTACTAGACAGGCGCTCTAACCAACTGAGCTACGGCGCCAGGTGTGAAGCAAAATGGCGTTTCAAAATAATCAATTGATTGATTAATTAAAGTCTTGTCACAAAATTCTACCAAAAAGAGGCCGCGTGAATCAGTGAAATATTCGGAAGCATTTCAATGTTTCAATGTATCCTCTTTTTTCTTCTTTTTTTTTGCTTATTTGCTTTTCAGTTGTCGTACCCTTTACGATAATAGTGACCTTTTAAAACACTAACCACGACGGGCTATTCTACCGAAAGTAAAATCCGAGCACGTGGCCGGAAGCACTGTTCAGACCTCTCCAGCTTTCATTCCAGGCGACTTTCCCTTGAGATGATCAACACACATCAGAATGATGTGTTTAATATTCGAGGATCACACAAAGGTTCAAAAAGTTAGAAGAAAAAAAAAATAAACTGACATCAGAGAGACAAACCCTTCCTTTACCTATATCCGTTTCCGTGGTGTAGTGGTTATCACGTCCGCCTAACACGCGGAAGGTCGCAGGTTCGGTCCTGCCGGAAACATAATTTTATTTTACTATTATTTTTTTTGTTTAAGACTACAAATATTTTATGATAATGTGGAAAACGAATAAAATTATTATAAATACAACGTACTACACTAGCGTATTTAGAATTCATCCTTGGCGATTTCAAAGAGGATTAATAAAGAAGGAGAAAGTGCAAGGCATTTTAAAGCCGACACTTCCAACAATTATAATGTGGTTTCCGTGGCACGTAGTTGCTATCATGTCCGCTATACGACACAGAGCGTTGCACATTTTTTTCCCATGCGCTGGCCATTAGCATGCATGGAAATAATGGAAGTAAACATCATTTTCAAGACAAATAAATGACTTTCAATTGTTTTGGTGGTGTTGTGGTTTCAAAAACTGCGGATGCCTTCAGTTGCAAATATTTTTTGATTTTTGATTACGATATTTAAAAGATAAGTAGATAACTCCACATTTCAATTGCTAAACAGCTAAAGTTAGGACAATATTAATCAGTTGTTTTTTTATATATACTCTCAGTGTGTGGTTGAACATTTCATGGTTGACCATGTCCTTTACTAACAAATAAATAGTCAAAAGCTAATAGGCTGCTTTCAACCGAATCCTCGGTAGTATAGTGGTGAGTATCCCCGCCTGTCACGCGGGAGACCGGGGTTCGATTCCCCGCAGGGGAGGTGTCATTTTTTTTCGTTCTTATCTTCTGTTGGAACTCCTCAATGTTACTACTGCAGGCGTTATTTTCATTTTTATGGCTACTGCACTATTGCGAAAGTAGCCAACAATGCCGTCGTCGAAGCATTCTTTGTAACATTCCTGTGTAAACTTTTTTGAAACAATTCTTAAAATTCCTGTGTATTCATTACTGAACATGATATGGCATTGTTCGATTGTTCCGCGGCTTCATTGACGGTGGTGACCCCAACCTCGTTCCCAGGGTCTCTCATCTTCCCGCCCCCTGGAGCGAGAGAAGAGAGACCCTGGTCTGGTCTGGTCACGTGTCTAATTGACATTTCAAACCCCAGGGAGGGCTCCTATAAATACAAATCTTTGTCGCGCTTTCTTTTGTCGACAACAAAGCGAGGCCAGAAGCTAACGGCCACTGTTCACAGGCAAGCAATGTTTTTATACAGCAGTCTTCAGTTCGCTGTTTGCAGCAGTTACTCCAATGTTTAGAGGCAATTAACTGTGGCCGAGATGTCTACGGAAAATCGATGAATTTCGGAAAATCGATGAATTTCGGAAAATCGATGAATTTCCAGCGCGCTAGCGCTGCTCCACGGCAGGCAAGGTCCCGAAAGGTCAATGTCGTATCGGAGTCAATTGTCAAAGCGTCATCATTATATAAAATTACACTGACGTCTGAACATTTCCACAAAGAGGAAAGAAAAATATTAAGACACCATGGGCTTAATTCAAGTTTAATAAACCAAGCTTATATTTTGCGAGTCGCTGACTCTTAGTCTAAGCGCTGTAAAATCTAATACATCACGTACACATCTCATAAATGTAAAACAAAGTGAATGCACGTTGCATATCGAGTTTTCCTGTTTTTAAAAGATATATCCTAAAAGGGTAAAGGTAAGGCGAGTGCAATAAAAACAAACAGAAACAAGCAATAGTACGTAATTTACCTGGAGTTGGGTTGAATTTTCTTGACGATCGCGGAGACTTGCTCTGGTCGGTGATCATTTTGTCACCTTTTATCATTTTCGCAACGCCGCCGGTAGCGACGAAATACACGATACCGAATACAGAATAAAGAATCAAGTAAAACATCGCCGCCGAATAAATAAAAGCTATAAAGATTTTCTTTATCCCTTTCCTGTCCTGGATTCGAAACATTAACCCGCTTTCGACTCCTTCGTCTTCGCAGATCTTGATCAAATGTGCGTTGTACAGCAGTGTACAGATGGCGATCTTTCGATACATCTAAGACCATCTAAGAACCATAGCTTTCCTTGATCGCGGTCTTGAAGGCTACAAAATTCTTTTACCGTTAATCGTCTTTTGGCGTCTCGGAACGGCCAAAATGTTTGCCACGAAAGCACGTCCACATGCGGTTATTTTGATTTACAACACTTTCCGCTCACCCCTAGGCAAAGTGGAGACAAATTTCACACTCATCTGCCCCTCCCACTAATCTTTTATTTGCTACATCCCAGATTCTGGGACACACGTGACCAGACCAGACCAGGGTCTCTCTTCTCTCGCTCCAGGGGCGGGGAAGATGAGAGACCCTGGGAACGAGGTTGTGGTGACCCAAGTGCCAAAACATGTTTTTACATATAAATAGGCCCAGGGTGCATAATGGGATTTTACAGTACCCCATATCATTAGTACAGGCCCTACTTGTGCAGTGCTCTTAGATAGGGAGAACTTTTATTCAAAATGTAAATTTGACTAATATTTTTATCAGATTGAATTGTTCTCAATAAACTAATAACATTTACATGTAATGTTATACTTCTGATCATTTATTTCTTGAGACAAATATTGTGACAAATCAAAACATCCTGCTCATTTAAGAAAATGTGTTGTACTATTAAATTATGATTTTGTAGCCATATATTTATTAAACGTTGACATGTCCATAATGTTCTCGAAATGAGTTTAATATGCTAACAACACAAACAGGCTAGGTCCCGCCGTAAGTGGTCTCCGTTCCGTGGCGCAATCGGTTAGCACGTTGGCTGTTAACCGAAAGGTTGGTGGTTCAAGCCCACCCGGGGACGTTACTTTTTGCTTCACTAAAAGAAAAATCCCACAGTATTTTTTGAACCAATGATTGTAAGATTATGCACGTAAAAGGATCCTTCTAATAAAACATAACCTTGCGTGTGTTTTTAAATACATTACTTTCTTGGCCATGGGGATAAAAAGAGAAGCGTCCTAACTGCATGTAGTTAAAACAAAAGATAAATGAACAAGGGAATTGCCACTAGCTTTAAACATCCACTACCATGTCTTGCCGTTTGAACACGGTTGCCTCGGGATATCTATTGTAACAATTCCCTCACAATGTTCATAAGAAGCCGAGTTGGGTTTCGCCACAGGCAGTCCAGGCTCTGTATGCGAATATTAAATATTCAATGTTGATGTTCATGGCGGCGATTTGAATATTTATAGCAAATGTATGAGAAACTCACGAAATACATTCTAAATGCTATCTTTTTGAAGGAAACTAACTAAAACTGACTTACATTGTGCAAGTGTTTTGTTATTTGATGTTTGGGTGTTCCTGGTGCCAGTTTAAAGCCATTTAGACGAGTTTTGCTTTTTCAGTTGACCGTCCATTATGAATAATTTAAAGGCCGGCGACAATTATGTGAGAACGGATCCAATGGTCCGCACTCGAAGCTCAATAAATTCCACAAAAATGCTCCAGTCTCCTCAAAATTACCTTCATTGCAGACGTCCATGCTCTTAGCTTCTGTTCGCTACCCCCAGGGTTCCAAGGTTGACTTTAATTGCTCGAGAAACGCTCGTGTTCGAGCTGTTGTCTTTAATATTTTCTTTCGCGTTGTGCGTGTCCCCGACATCTGAGACATCTCAATTAAAATTCAGCGTCATCGTGACCAAATTTACCTCGACCGTGGAGAGGCATGGTGCAATTGTTTACTTGCAAAAAAAGACACCATTGGATGGTCCCTTCGGTCGTTTTTTTTTACTTTAGAATCTCGCGACTCTCTAGTTTCATTTTTTTTTTTCGGTGTCAGAACTATTTTCAGTTGAACAATTTAAAGGCATCGTTCAAATACACAGTGAAACTTCAAAAATTCCTTGTTGCGGTTCACATTCTCCGAAAAACCCAGAGTTTGGTCTGGATGTTTCACGTCAGTTGTTTTGCATAAAACTGCACGTGCGGAGCTATTAAACGGCGTGCTTTTTTTATGCCATTTGAAATCGACCGATTAAAGCGTCGTCTATGTTTATAGCGGTTATTAATTTACAACTTACGTTGTAAAAACGTGTTGAAAGAGATTTTATGTAGGGTTTATAATCACGAGCATAAACCCGCTTACTCCAAAACAAGCTGAAATCAGTCTTGAGTTTTGCTAAAAGTGGCACAATCTAACCGCAACGAGGAATTTTTGAAGTTTCACTTTGTATTTAAACGCTGCCTTTAAATTGTTCAACTGAGGCAGGAGCTCGTGACTGAGGATAGTTTCTGACACCGAAAAAAACCCTGAATGAAACTAGAGAGTCAGCGCGAGATTCTAAAGTAAAAAAAAAAGAATTTTTAATCGACGTTGTATCCGATTGTTTTCGTTCCGTTTCCGGTCAAATCGACCGAAGGGACCATCCCATGGTGTCTTTTTTTGCAAGTAAACAATTGCACCATGCCTCTCCACGGTCGAGGTAAATTTGGTCACGATGACGCTGAATTTTAATTGAGATGTCTCAGATGTCGGGGACACGCACAACGCGAAAGAAAATATTAAAGACAACAGCTCGAACACGAGCGTTTCTCGAGCAATTAAAGTCAACCTTGGAACCCTGGGGGTAGCGAACAGAAGCTAAGAGCATGGACGTCTGCAATGAAGGTAATTTTGAGGAGACTGGAGCATTTTTGTGGAATTTATTGAGCTTCGAGTGCGGACCATTGGATCCGTTCTCACATAATTGTCGCCGGCCTTTAAATTATTCATAATGGACGGTCAACTGAAAAAGCAAAAACTCGTCTAAATGGCTTTTAAACTGGCACCAGGAAACACCCAAACATCAAAATAACAAAACACTTGCACAATGTAAGTCAGTTTTAGTTAGTTTCCTTCAAAAAGATAGCATTTAGAATGTATTTCGTGAGTTTCTCATACATTTGCTATAAATATTCAAATCGCCGCCATGAACATCAACATTGAATATTTAATATTCGCATACAGAGCCTGGGCTGCCTGTGGTTTCGCCAGTATTATAGTTTTGAAGAGGGAAAACTTAACTCTTGATTAATTTAAAAAAAAACCCAGCTGGGCCTGTCCGGGAGTCGAACCCGGGACCTCTCGCACCCTAAGCGAGAATCATGCCACTAGACCAACAGGCCAGACATGATAAGAAGTTTAAACAAAGGTTCACTACTACTGTGATTAGCAGGTAGTATAACACCCGTACTTTGTCTGATCCGCGAGATATATCACGGTTACTGGCCAACTCCATTGATTCTCTGTTTCTAGGTTTATAAAACCCTATACAGCCCCAATAACCTTTCGTTTCCCCTTTTCGAAGAATGTTTGATGAACATAATGAACATCAATGGGCATAAAAAAGTTATTTCTATAACATGGAAGGAAAATAAATATAAACGCAATTTTTCAACAGATCAACTGTCAAGGCTACAAGCAAATTGGTAACAAAATAATCGATCCACAAAAAATAATCAGTTCTTTTTCTGCCAGCATTAAATGCGCGAGAGACCGGGACTTTTGATGTATTTAGATGTTGCTCAATCTGAGGAACTGAAAAGTTTTGTTATAAATGCAGAGGTCGTCAAAATGCACAACTTGATATTAATTTGTATCTTACTAATACTTGCATAAAAATGTTTTTGTTTATTGAATATAAATTCCGTGATTTGTCCAGTATAGTGTAGATGCAATTGCTATGCTCAAGGAATATGGGATATTTAATACACTTTATATCACACCCGCTCCTACTGAAAATACATTTAGTTTGTTAAATTGTTAACAATGGCCTGTGTTATATGCCTGTGTTGGTACATTTGCAGTAGTGGTTTGCTTAAAAGTTCCCTATTATCAGTGTTCCTTGGCAGCGGTTTCTTTTCCGTAGACAAACATGGCGCTTTTTTCCTTCTCCGAAAAGCATTTATCACCTTCAGTGCCTTTCGATGGTCCTTCCGCGTCCGCCATCTTGCCCAAAGCTGCACTCGCATTGGCATGCTCTCGCATAAAAATACAAGTTATCGATAATTTTGGCCTCAAGTGTGTGGTAAAGCTCTATCGAGCACTTCTTTTACATGTGAGGAGACTTTAGATGTTGGTCACCATTGGTGCTCAAAGGGTTGTGGCAAACCACAAATATTGCTCAGCAGCTTTTGAGATTTTATTTGTAGGCCTAACTTAACAGGTTAAAAGTCCACACTACCTGTATGTACTGTTTTTTATCGTCTATGGGGAATACACCTTCTGTGTATTTGGTGGGGATGAAGTGCTCCCATATAGGTCACCCTTTACCCCATAGACTCTTATTACTCCTTAACCCGGGGGATTCGACCCTAGAGAGGATTATCACCTCTCCATACCCTGGGGGATTATCACCCCCTAGAGAGGATTAATCACCTCTCACTCAGTACCCTGGGGGATTATCACCCCGGCCCTCTTGAGGATTAGCACCTCGTACTGAGTACCCTGGGGGATTATCACCCCAGGGCGATTATTACACCCCTAGAAATAAAGTGACCTAGAATCCTTTAATGGAGTACTTCATCCCTTACCCCTTTTCCCCACAAATGTTCTGGTTGAGTTGTTTGTTTATATAGTAAGGGTTATGGGTTAGGAACATTAACGCAATTATTAACACATTATGCACCACATATTAAATTTTATGAAAACCAAAAACAATGATCATATAATTTTATGCAGAAACATTGACGTGAAATGTTGGCTTCGAAAACAAAAATGGTAGTACATAACGAAATTCAAATTCCGGTACATTCATTTTAGAGAACAATTGTTTTTTCCCGAATGAATAAAAAAATATGGTTAGCTTACTGTTAGGCACCGATGGGATTTGAACCCATGACCTCCTGTTTACTAGACAGGCGCTCTAACCAACTGAGCTACGGCGCCAGGTGTGAGGAAAAAGGGCGTTTCAAAAGAAGCAATTGATTGATCAATGAAAGCCTTGTCACAAAATAGCCCTTTTCACGGTTAACTTGCGATATTTGCATAACAATACACTTGAACATAGAAGCGAGGTAATTTCGGGCACAAGCTGCAAAACATCGTGTTTTTTCTTAAACTCCTTGAACTCTTTTAGTATAAAAACAGTTTTAAAATGTAGAAGAACTTTTAGTTTGCGTTGTTTTTAGAAAAAATTGTAAAACGACTTTTCTCTATTAATAAAGAGTAGACTCGCATAAGCAACAACGAGATCGGATTACGATCTTTACGGCAAACTTTAACTAAAATATTTGCATATTTAGTTCTTCTCCGTTTTAAAACTATTTTTATGCTAACATAGTTTAAGGTGCTCAAGAAAATCACGTTGTTGTGCCCGAAATTGCCTCCCTTCTATGTTTAACTGCATTGTTATGCAAATATTTCAGGTTAACCGTGAAAAGGGCTATTGTACCAAAAAGAGGCTGCGTGAATCAGTGAAATATTCGGCAGCAGTTCAATGTTTTAATGTATCCTTTTTTTTTGGCTTATTTGCATTTTAGTTGTCGTACACATAGTGACCTTTTAAAACAATAGCCACGACGGGCTACCGAAAGTAAAATCCAAGCACATGGCCGGAAGCACTGTTCAGACCTCTCCAGCCTTAATTGCAAGCGACTTTCCCTTGAGATGCATGATCAACACACATCAGAATAAGGCGGTGTTGGACACGCGTCGCGAAGAATGCTGGGAGAAAATCGATCGCGAGCTCATTTGCAACATGTCGGCGATCAGTAAACATCTCAGCTCTCCGCGGTCCGATGCATTTCTTGAAGAAATCTGCCCGCTGTTTCATCCCATATATTTATCTACTTTCTTCACGACTACAACTGCTTCAT